GATTTGTGCAATTCAACCTTTAAGGGGCAAGGCGAAAAAGAGTATTTTTGAGGCGGCTTATTAGAATTAACCAAATAAAAAAAAATATAAGTATATCTCAATCTAGACATGCACAAAAATGAGAAAAAAATGTTTGATGTCTTCTGAACATGCATGGCTAATTTTTCTTCTATGGTAAACATTTTGTCTATGTGCTAAAGCATTCGGAAAATTGCCAATATTACAGTCCCTAGCTTAGCACAAGTTACCGACCATTATGGGCCAAATGTTTTATTAACAAACCTATTGGCCTTAAAAATGTTTTGAAAGTTCTCTACCTTTTAATTTATTTGCAATGGCACTTCTTTCAAGTGTCCAGTGTGCTAATAATCCCAGTCTCCCATTGACTTTTCAAAGTTTGCACTTGGGATTAATGTATTAGATTTCGTACTCCGATAATGCACAACAATGGTAGCCTCTTTCTTGTTAAGTAATAATTTGAGATTTTTTGAAGTTGAACTATTGTCTTTGCAGATTCTATTCCATCAATTTGCAATAAATTTATTAACCTCTAAATCAATCACTTTGACTTGAATTCATGAATAGGTTATCAATCAACATGTAACACACATACTACCAAACTAGTTCCTAAACGAAAAATAAAAAGGAAAAAAAGTTGACGGCTATAACTTATACTCAACAGATGTTAGTTTCAAATTTTTTTTTGTTAGCCATGATGTAGAATTACTTCCTAAATGGTGCACAAAATACTAATATTATTGCAATGACATAGCATGAAATAGAATATTTAGGTTCTTATGGTATTGTCTCACAAATTAGATAGAAAAAAAAATTAACAAAGTAACAGCTGTATGATTCAGTAGTACTCCCTCCGTCCCACTTGGATAGTCTCGTTTTCCTTTTTCGTCTGTCCCAAATTATAGTCCACTTTCCAATTGAAGAATGTAGTTGTATTTTACTTTTCCTAAAATACCCTTATTCAATGTAAGTTGTTACTACTATAAACCTACCCCATTTAATGAGAGTTGATTCTTTTTTTACCATCAATTCAAGTTCCCATAAAGTTGTACCATATTTAATGTGAGGGTATTTTAGGAAAATAGTAATCTAAATTTACTTTTCCAACAAAGTTAACTACTTTTTTTTAAACTGTGTGAAAAAAGAAATGGGACTATCAAAGTGGGACGGAGGGAGTACATTTTTTGGTTTAATAATTGTTTATCCAGGTTCATCTTCTTAGTAAACTCGAATTTTGTCTCCTGTAGATGGTGTGGCCTACCCCAAGAGTGTTTCGGCTATGTCAAGTTTGCTGACTTTGCTCTTGGGATTATCAGAAACTTCTGCGATGGTTGGAAAGTCGACAGATGCCAAATGCGTGGTTGCTTAGTGTCCTGGTTGATTAAGTAGATTTGGTAGATCGGGAAGATTTGCAGGTGTTTCATTAACAAATCTCTTGTTGATTTGTAGCTTCAAACTTTCTTATTGGACTAGTTTCAAATTATACAATTTCTGATTCTCCATTTTTGGAAGGAGTAGATCTTCCTTTAGATGAATTTCCTACAATCAACATTCTATGAAAATAAACAAGCATGATAGCATAGAACTTAGTTCTAACTATAGTTCCTAACATCTATTTGTCAAGATTTTCGTATGATTTATTTTTGGATAAATTATAGATAAATCCCCTATGATTTCACCTATTATCATAATGACCACTTTAATTTTTAAAATATCCAATTCACCCCCTATAGTTTCATATAAAGTGAAAATTTGATAGAAAATAGTTTATGTTACACCGTTTGTTGATATACCAATGGTGCACTTACTTAAATGTTAAATTGCAAAACATCCTAACCACCTTGCATAATACCATAGGGGAATTATATAAATAAATACAAAAATTATAGGGCAGTAAAGTGGATATTCATGCAAATTATAGAAGAGTTAAGTAGATATTATGATTCCATCACATACACTTTTGGAGCATGTTTGGTTCAATCACCATAACCAATGATGTATTCCATCTATTTTTCACTTTATATAAAATCAAAGGGGAATTATCTTGTTATTTTGAAACTTTAGAGGAAATTATCTAGTGTTATGCAAAATCAAAGAGGGTTATATCTAATTCAGCTTTTATTTTTTGTGGTCGTGTAATGGAGGTGAGTGTACGGTCCTCCTAATTTTTTATTTCTTTTCACATATTACTGTAACAAAATACGTTATTTGCTTTATAAAAAAAAAGAGAATTCATAGGTAACCAAAATTTAATAATATGATTATTGAGTATACATAAAAGTAACTGTTTCAATAGTTACATTCTTAGGGCAATGTATAATAACTCATATGCAAATACGTACTTCAGAAGTGCTGGAAAATTAGAAAAACAAAGAAATAAATGTTCTTAAGTGCATCTAATATGTAACATGTTAAGCCATACCAAGCAAGCCCATTTTGCTAAAATTAACATGAAGGAGGTGTTTTATGCTCTGTACATAGCTTCCATCACTTTCCTCTTGAAAGGTCCTAAACTAGGGACTATAGAGCTCAACAAGCTCCTACATGTCACTTGCAAAAATGGTGGTGCAAAAGTGAATCGTGTATTTCTTGATTGACACGGGGTCTTTTGTCAAGCGGATGATGTTGCCTAGAACACTTAGGACCTGGCTTTTTATTCCAACATTCGGCCTCCAAAATTAGCATAATCCCAGGCTTCCATGCATTATGCATTTTGTGTAGTTTAGATTCATCAAGTGAATTTATACAACTAAAATCCCCAAGAGACAAAATAGTTTAGTTTACAAAAATTTCATGTAATTCAGTAGGCAAAAAATCGGCATGCTGATTGCTAAACATGGTAGCTCCTATATTACACACTAAATATACCATGAAAACTTATTAAGAAGGTCTATTTGATGGTTGTAAACTCATCAATGTTCCATTTAGTCCTTAGATAGAGCCTTCATTGTCGCATCATTTCATACAAAAAAATTCATCTTGCGTTTAAGATTGGTTTTTATCAAAGTAAAATAGGAAGCAGAAGTAAAGAAACTTCAGCTGTAGTCAAAAAGCATAAAATAAAGCCTATCAATTAATTTGTTGTATCTCAACTATTGAGTTTGTCTTTGTATCCCACATCAAGAATTTTATAAAGAAATCTCTTCTCTTGGTGGTTATAAATATAGTGGGTTTAAATAAGTTTACATGTGCTAAGGGTACCAACCCAATTGCCATATGCATTAATTGAAGAGAGTTTTAGGCGGCTCACTGATAGAGCAGTTATTTGGCACATTTTGCAGTGTTATTTTGTCCTAATTTTGGCTATTTACTGTGCTAAGTACTGAGGTTTAACTCATATCTCGCATTTGTATGAATTATAGGTGATCGGCATTAAAAATGATCTCGCGGGGTAAATTTCCAGAAGACTTTTCGTCTCAGGGCGTGGCCACGCCTTAGAAGGTGGACGAAACCGAAAGACGGACCGTGATCCACGTGAACCAGGAGCACAGGATTAAAACTTCCAAAAGTCCCTTGGTTTCAATCAATTTGGGCCAGACGTCTCTTTCGTGACTTCTGGGAGCGGCGGCTATAAAGAAGGGAAAAGCAAGATTCAAAGGACAACTACTTTTTAGCCTAGTCTCTCTTTTTCTACTTTTTGGGGGAAAGATTTGTCAGACGCTTGAGTCTTTCTCTTTTGTTTTCTGCGGCTCTGGGTCAGACATTGGAGATTTTCTCCTTTGCTGTAGCTTTTGCTTTTGGCTTCTGTACAATTTTTTCTATTCGACTTTTGCTTCTACTTTCGCCCCAGGGGTACGAACACGAAACCCCACAAAGGGAAGCAAAAGGTTTTTCATCCGTTCCTTCGCTAATTCATCTTTTTCAATTCTCGGGAAATTAATTGAATGCATTCAATTAAATCACGCGGGATTGACACGATGAGGAGCGGCTAATTCCCTCCTCTACCCAAAGGTTGACGCGAGGGCGCGGTCCATAATATCTGTGAGATCTAACCGAATCTTCATTATTTTCTCTAATTAATTGCTATTCGTGCGTTTCCTGAATTAATTGTTTATGGGTATTTTATTAATTGAATAGCAACGGCCGGGTATTTGATTTGATTTAATAGCCTACTGCCACGTTAATTAAATAGAATCCGTAATTGTTCATTTAGTTAACACCTCGTGGCAACCACCATAATTGGTTTTATGATGGGGAAACACAAGATCTAGCTTAAATAAACCCTCTTAGCGTGTTTATTGGTTAGGGTTGGGTTCTTCTAGCTTTAATGCAATTGGGTAATTAAATTCCTACGATCTTACCTCGGGTTGTTATCTGGTTAGGGAAGTAGTCAATGGTCGTACCTTGACTGTCGAAAAGGTAAGGAAGAACTGGTTGTCAGAGCTTATTGATAACTATAACCAACCTAATGATGAATGGATGCAATATCTTTGCATTTGCATCGATGATCATTTAATTGGACCGTGCCTGAGCAGTTAATCCTTTGGGTAGAACTTTTATTAATTGCTATTTTTATTGAATTGTGCTTTGTGAGTTAGTTCTGAATTTAGTTCGCTTTATTTTTATTCTTATTTTTATTTACTTGCCTCCCATTGAAAATCCCCCAATTTCGTTCTACTAATTTGGAAAGAAATAATTTCCTACCCGCTCCCTGAGGAATCGACCCTACTTGCCATTGTACACAAAATTAATATTCTTATAGACTAATCTGGTATATCGGATCAAGCAAATTCTTCGGGAACAGGGTGAATCAAGTAACCCATTGCACACCTAGGGTCCCTGCTCCAGTACTTGGATTTGTTATATAATTAATTGTGGTGGTAATTAGGACTTTTTAGTAATTATTATTGCACAGGTTCGGCACCTGTCAATTTTTGGCGCCGTTGCCGGGGAGCTGGCGTTTGGATTATTTGTTTCTTTTCAAATTCAGTTTTTATTTTATTTTTATTTTATTCTATTCTTCTCGGTATTTTTGCTAGTTTATGCCCCGTTCTTCTCGCACAGGTGAATTGATATACGACGCGGAGGTTGAGAAAGCAGCGCGTAAGCGGAGGCAAGAGACCAAGAGACGAAAAGAAGGGCACTTATTTGCTTCAAACGAGTCAGCAGAAGACGAAGTAAGCATGGCCAACACCCAAACATTGAGGGAGCTGGCTGCCCCGGAGCTGACTCACCAGCCCTTATGCATCACATTCCCCGCTTTGGCTGAGAATACTGCTTTCGAACTGAAGTCGAGGTTGATTCAACTCTTACCTTCTTTTCATGGTCTCTCTGGCGAAAAACCCCACAAGCACGTAAAGGAGTTCGAGGTGGTTTGCTCTAGTATGAAACCTCCTGGGGTCACTGAAGAGCAAATTAAACTGAGAGCCTTTCCGTTCTCTCTCAAGAATGCAGCTAAAGATTGGTTGTACTACCTACCAGCAGGTAGTATTACCACATGGGCACAGTTGAAAAAGAAGTTTTTGGAGAAATTCTTCCCTGCATCTCGGGCTGCGAGTTTGAGGAAAGAAATCTGCAGCATTAAACAGTTCCCCGGGGAATCCTTGTATGACTATTGGGAAAGGTTTAATAAGTTGTGCACTAGATGCTCGCAGCATCAGATTAGTGAACAACTGTTAATCCAATATTTCTATGAAGGACTCCAGTCAACTGATAGGAGTATCATTGACGCTGCGAGTGGGGGAGCGCTGGCAAATAAGACCCCGAGGGAAGCATGGCTGCTCATTGAAGCTATGGCAGAAAATTCTCAACAGTTTGGCTTCCGTGAGAGTAACCCTACCCGCAGGGTTAATGAGGTGGAGTCGACATCTGTTCAGCAGCAGTTGTCGGAGCTAACATCCGTTGTTCGACAATTAGTGGTGGGAAATATGCCCCAAGTAAAGGCCTGTGGAATTTGCACAAATATGGGCCACCATACTGACTCATGCCCTATGTTGCAAGAAGATGGGGCTGAACAAGTGAACATGGCTGGAGGCGTGCCCGCGCCTCGTAGGCAGTACGATCCATACTCCAACACGTATAATCCGGGTTGGAGAGATCACCCAAATTTCAGCTATGGTAATAGGCCACAAAATGCATTCTCCAATCATCCACCAGGATTTCAGCAACCTTGGCAACAGAAGTCCTAGCCCTCGTCCTCAAACTCAGGAAGTTCTTTGGAGGAGATTGTCAAGAGTTTAGCCACTACTACCACTCAGAAATAGCAAGAGACTAGATAGCTCCAGCAGGAGACCAGGTCATTGACCGCAAATATGGCTCAACTCCAGCAAGAAACTAGAGCCTTAACCATGAGCACCAATCAGTTTCAGCAGGACACAAAATCAGGCATGAAGGATATGGAGGCTCGAATAAGTCAAATGGCAATTGCCATCAATCGCTTGGAGTCCCACGCTTATGGAAAGCTACCCTCACAACCCGAAGTAAATCCCAGAAATGTAAGTGCCATGACATTAAGGAGTGGCAAGGAAGTGGAGGGGCCAAAGGTCACGAACTTGAAGAAAAAAAGTGAAGACGAGATCGAGAAGGAGATAGAGGAAGAAGGACGCATTCGTGGAGGTCCTGAGGTAACTCTTACACCATCGATACCCGTCAAATCTAATTTACCACCTTTTCCATGCAGGTTGGCAAAAACAAAGAAGGCAGAGAAGGATAAGGAGATCCTGGATGTGTTCAGAAAAGTGGAGATCAACATCCCCTTATTAGAGGCAATTAAGCAGGTACCGAAATACGCAAAATTTCTCAAGAACCTGTGCACCCACAAAAGGAAGTTAAGAGGGGATGAAAGAGTAGTCGTAGGAGAGAATGTATCATCCATGCTCCAAAGGAAGCTTCCACCCAAGTGTGGAGATCCAGGTATGTTCACGATCCCGTGCAAGATAGGAAATACACCAATTAGAAAAGCAATGTTAGATTTAGGGGCGTCAATCAATGTGATGCCAAAGACCATTTTTGCTTCTCTAAATCTTGGGCCACTTAAAGAAACAGCCATCATAATCCAACTAGCTGATCGCACAAATGCATATCCAGAGGGGCTAGTTGAGGATGTCTTGGTTCAGGTAAATGAATTGATTTTTCCTGCAGATTTTTATATCTTGGGAGATGAAAAATCATTAAACCCGGCACCTATCCTGTTAGGTAGACCGTTACTTAGCACTGCCAGGACTAAGATAGATGTGAATGAGGGTACTTTGTCAATGGAATTTGATGGTGAAACTGTGAATTTCAATATTTTTGAGGCGATGAAGTATCCAGAAGAATCTAACTCGGTTTTTGCTTTGAGCGTTGTTGAGCCTTTTGTGCAGGAAATCTTCGAATTAGATGGCAAAGACGCATTGGAAGTGGCTCTAATGAAGCATTTGGAGTTGGGTGTAACTCTTGATGTGGACTTAAGGGAAGAGTTGCTCCATGCTGTTGAAGCCTTACACTCACTTCCACCCGTGTCCCCAAGGTATGAACTTACCTCTCTTTTTGTGCCAGAGGCTAAGACAAAGTTGCTCCCTTCAGTTGTTCAGGCACTGGAATTAGAATTAAAGTCTCTCCCAAAGCATCTAAAGTACGCATTCCTAGGAGACCGGGAGACACTGCCGGTGATCATCTCTGCACACCTATCTCCAAGTCAAGAAGACAAACTGGTGCGAATCCTTATGGAGCATAAGGAGGCAATTGGGTGGAGCATAGCCGATATTAAAGGGATCAGCCTGTCCTTGTGCATGCACCGGATAAGGCTCGAGGGTGATGCAAAACCGGTAAGGCAAGCACAACGGAGATTGAACCCCCTGATGATGGAAGTTGTGAAAAACGAGATACTCAAACTCCTAGAGGTGGGGATCATTTTTGCTATCTCGGATAGCCCATGGGTGAGCCCTGTCCAAGTGGTCCCGAAGAAAGCGGGAGTAACCGTAGAGGAGAACCAGGAAGGTGATATGGTCCCGGTCAGGAAAGCTACTGGCTGGCGCCAGTGCATTGACTACAGGAGGCTCAATTCTGTGACTAAAAATGATCATTTCCCCCTCCCTTTTATTGATCAGATGGTAGAACGATTGGCAGGTCGTGTTTACTATTGTTTCTTGGATGGCTGTTCAGGTTACTTTCAGATCGCGATAGCACCAGAAGACTAGGAGAAAACTACCTTCACATGCCCATTCGGTACATTCGCTTACCGCCGGATGCCTTTCGGCCTTTGCAATGCTCCAGCAACCTTTCAACGGTGTATGGTAAGTATTTTCTCTGAGTATGTGGAAAAAATAATCGAGATGTTCATGGATGATTTTAGTGTGTACGGGGACAGTTTTGATGAATGTCTTGAGAATTTGGCTTTAATTCTGAAAAGATGTATAGAGACGAATTTGGTGCTTAATTGGGAAAAGTGTCACTTTATGGTAGATCATGGCATTGTCTTATGACACGTCGTGTCGGCTAAGGGAATAGAGGTAGATAAAGCTAAAATTGACCTTATTTCTGCTCTACCTTACCCCGTATGTGTACGGGAAGTGCGTTCGTTTTTTGGCCATGCAGGCTTTTACAGGAGATTTATCAAAGACTTTTCAAAAATAGGAGCACCCCTGTTCAAGTTACTGCAGAAGGACATGCCATTTGATTTCACAAATGAATGCAAGGTGGCTTTTGATAAACTGAAGGAATCATTGACATCGCCGCTTGTCATTCAACCCCCAAATTGGAACCTTCCGTTTGAAATCATGTGCGACGCGAGTGACTATGCCGTGGGAGCCGTGTTGGGACAAAGAATAGGAAGAGCGCCACACGCGATCTACTACGCGTCGAGAGCCTTAAGTGGAGCCCAACTTAATTACTCCACGACGGAAAAAGAATTACTAGCTGTTGTTTTTGCACTAGAAAAATTTAGGTCATATTTATTGGGTGCAAGAGTAATAGTTTTCTCTGATCATGCAGCATTGAGGTACTTGCTGGCGAAGAAGGATGCTAAGCCAAGGCTGATCAGGTAGATTTTGCTCTTGCAGGAGTTCGACCTAGAAATCAGGGATAAGAGCGGAGCTGAGAATTTGGTGGCTGATCATTTGAGCCGGTTGCTCACAAATCAAGAGGATATGCAGTTGAGAGAATCATTTCCTGAGGAACAATTATTAGTCATTCATTCGTCGGCACCATGGTATGCCGATATTGTAAATTTTTTGGTAACAAGTGAATTACCTGCAGGTTGGTCAAAAGCTAAAAGAGATAAGTTAAGGAGTGATGCCAAACATTACCTTTGGGATGACCCATATCTGTGGAGGCAATGTTCGGACCAAGTAACAAGAAGATGTGTGAGTGCAGGTGAGTTTCACTCTATTTTGACTTTTTGTCATTCGTTTGCATGTGGAGGGCATTTTGGTCCTAAGCGGATGGCTCGTAAGGTGTTGGAAAGTGGTTTTTATTGGCCTACCCTCTTTAAGGATGCGTATTTGTTCTGTAAATCGTGTGATAAGTGTCAAAGGGTGGGGAATATCTCTCGTAGAGACCAAATGAGTCAAACCCCCATATTATTTGTTGAGATTTTTGATGTCTGGGGTTTAGATTTCATGGGTCCTTTCCCCTCGTCTTTTGGTTTCTTGTACATTATACTTGCTGTCGACTATGTTTCAAAATGGGTGGAGGCAAAAGCCACCCGGACTAATGACTCTAGAGTGGTTGCAGATTTTATAAGATCTAACATTTTTGTCCGATTTGGAATGCCGAGAGCTATAGTGAGTGACAGGGGCACTCATTTCTGCAATAAGACAATCACTGCATTGTTTCGTAAGTATGGTGTGCTGCACAAAGTGTCAACTCCCTACCATCCCCAAACGAATGGTCAGGCCGAAGTGTCAAATAGGGAGGTTAAGTCAATCCTGGAGAAGATGGTGAGGCCTGATAGAAAGGATTGGAGTGTGAAATTGGAAGATGCTCTCTGGGCCTACCGCACCGCATATAAAACACCGATTGGGATGTCCCCATACAGGTTAGTTTTTGGGAAGCCCTGCCACCTTCCGGTGGAATTTGAACACAGAGCATTTTGGGCACTTAAGCGGTGTAATATGGACCTTATGGAGGCCGGAGGAAATAGGAAGCTCCAATTACAAGAGTTGAAAGAACTAAGGAATGAAGCCTATGAGAACGCCGCAATATATAAGGAGAAGAGCAAAATTTTTCATGACCAACAAGTGTCGAGGAAGTCATTTGTCATCGGGCAAAAAGTCCTACTTTATCACTCTAGACTTAAGCTTTTTCCTGGTAAGTTGCGTTCTTGTTGGATTGGTCCATTTGTTGTTACTAATATTTCTCATTATGGTGCAGTGGAAATCCAAAGTCTTAAGACGGAGAAAAGGTTCATAGTCAATGGTCACCGTCTAAAGCCTTATTATGAAGGGTTTATTAGTGAGCCAGTGGAGGTTCTATTCTTTGATAATCCAAGTGGTGAAGTCTAGACAGTTGAAGGCCATATCTAACCAAAGACATTAAAGAAAGGCGCTACTTGGGAGGCAACCCAAGGATTACAATATTAGTTGTGATCATTCCTCATTACTCTGCAATTTTTCAGTTTTATCTTGATGTTTTGATTGTTTTTGTGGTGATGGACAGAAGACTAGCAGTTCCAAGGCGTGCCCACGCCTTGAAAGGGAGGCACCGGGTGTCCTGAGCAAGGGGAAGACTGGCAGTCTCAAGGCGTGCCCACGCCTTGCTACCCTGTTGAAAAAAAAAAGAAAAAAATTTTGACATGGACTTCATTTTTTCCACTTTTCTTCCCGCTGGTCTTACCTAGTTTCTCCCCAAATTGTTTTTGCCTAAACTCCAGCACTTCTTCTTCAAATCTTGGTCCTGCCGCCGCCCATCGCCGTTCGCCGCATCCAATGACCACACCAGCGCGCGCCTGCCTCGCCTGACCAGCACCAGCAGCAGCGCAAGGCCCAGCCCGCAGCCTGCCTGCGCTCGACCCATCTGCGCGCGACCTGCCCTTGCCGCCCTGCACACTTCTGCGCGCGCGACGCGGACCAGCACCCAGCAGCAGATCCGCGCCGTCTTGTGCAGCTCGCGCGACCTCGCGGCCCCAGCAACCCAGCGCGCGACCAGCACCGCGGGCTCCAGCGCGTCTCGCCAGCCCCACTCTGCGCGCGACCTTGGCGCGCGACCACCAGATCTGCGCGCGGCCACCTCCCCCTGCGCAGCCCAGTACCAGCGTGCGTGCACCAGCTTCGCCCAGCGCGCGGCTGTCCTCCACGGTCTTGCGCATTTGGGTAACTCTATTCTACTACAATTTTTGCTGCTGGACTTTGAATTTCGGATTAGTGCTCTAGTTGACTAAGATCAGGGGTCTTTATTGATAAATTTTCGCTTCCTGCTGGGTTAACAAGAAAATAGTTGCTTGTTTTTTGGGGACCATTTAATTATTGTCTACAAGTGTGCGTCTGCGTATCTGCCTGGGATTGATTATATACTTGGGACATCTGTGGGCTCTGGTGAATTTATTAGTTGTTATACGTGGTCGGTAGCTCGCTGATTTGTGCCTTTTATTGACTGATATCTTGATTTGAGAGGAGTTGGTTCGGTCTTCTTTATTGTGGTCGGCTAATTGACGACAGTGGGGCATTGGTTGGTGTTTGTTGTCTGGTTATTGTTTGGTGGGGTATTAGTGTCCCCATTTGCGGTTGAACTGCTAAATTTTTAATAATTTTTGTTGACTGTGGTCCCATATCAGCTTTTGGGTGGTTGATTTATTACCTTTGTGCCTGATTCACTCTTCCTGTGGTCACCAAATGCCTCCTAAAAAGACAACCACTGTTGGGCCGTCTGGGTCCCAGCCTCGCAAGAGGCGAGCCCCGGTTCAACCCACCATTCGGTCTCGTCTGGGCCTGAATAAGAGCACTATGTCTCCTGGAGGAGGGGGGGAAACGGTCACTAATCTTACACAGGCACAAATGTTGCGGTTTAATAACTTGGCAAACCGTCCTTTTACTCCTTGTAAGTGCTTTCATGCCCCAACCTTGGACCATTTGCGAATTGCTCGGGAAGTTGAACAGTTATTCTCGGCCATAGGTTGGCAAAAATATCTAATCATTAACTACCCTACGTTTGAGGAGCTGTGTTGTGAATTCTTCTCCACATTCGAGTTCAACAGAAATGAGTTCATCACTTTGGATGAGCCAGAGGTCATTAATTTCAGATTGGGAGGTACTCAGTTTGGTATGTCCATTAATGAGTTTAACCTGACTTTGGGGTTTGTTAGTGAGGACACCATTGCCTCCGGGGCTTATATAAACAGTGCGTGTGACTACACCCGACCGTTCTCTACTGACTACATTGACATTTGGAGGGAGTGGTCCACGGATCGTCAGGTTTACAATCCGAGTCAGTCGAAGGCTTCCCATCTGAAGGATCCGGTCTTGAAGGTTGTTCACCGGTTCTTAGCTCACAATTTCTCGGGGCGGAAGGATTCTTCCGGCACCCTTACCAAAGCAGAATTCTACTTCCTTTGGTGCATGCGCAACAATGTTAAGGTTAATTTTGGGTGTTGGACAGCCACTCAAATGGAGTCAGTCATTCATAAGCGCAATAAACCGATTATCCTAGGCTCGCTCATTACCCACTTGGCCATCCGATTGGGATTGCTAGACCTCGACAAGGAGCACAACTTCGCCCTAGCTCGAGAGGTTGAGCCACTGGATTTGCGCAGTTTGGAGCGAATGGGGGTTATTTGCAAAGTGGGCGATATCTATCAGTTTACGGGCCCTGGTGATGACGGTCCGCAGCCTCGGGAGCCTACCACCGCACCCTCCACTGGCTCTCCGCCCCATCCGGACCAGGCAGGTCCCTCCTCCTCTCATGCTCCTCCTGCTGGGGACCCCCGCTACCCGGACCTCCAAGAGGGTGTTCATGAGCTCAACAACCAGCTGTCGAGGATAGATGGCCGTCTTATGGCGCTCCAGGTCTTCGCCCGCATTCAGGCAGAGAATCAGGCGGCCTTCTACGCTCACATTGGATTCACACCGCCTCACCCCCCTCCGCCTTAGTATCTCGTTTTCACTCCCCGGTGGTCAGGGAAGTTTCTTTTCTTTCCTCCTAGTACTTTATTTCTCTCTTTTACATTGAGGACAATGTAGGTCTTAGGTGTGGGGGGAGTAGCCATTAGTTCTTTTTCATTAGTTCTTTTTGCTTTTGCTTTGATTACTTAAAAAACATGGGATGAATGGAAAAGAATGAAAAACATAGTAGTTAGTCGGTTTTCTTTGGTTATTTCTATGCTTGTTAGTGTTGGGCATGTGCTGTGATGAATAACACAATCAAAGTGAGTGGGTGTGTGGTCACATATGCTAGCTGTGCATTTTGTTTTCCTTGGCAATGTCGTTGAGTGTTGAATGTGCTGGAGTGGACCCATTCTTGTAACTTTTGGGGAGCTTTTGAGCCTTGTTTGAGCATATTATCCTTGTTTGCTCTATTTCTGCTTGATTGAGTGGGTATTGCACATGGTATGAACATTCTAGAACTTGCTATTTTGTACATGTCGAGACCACATTTTGTTGAATTGGATGCATTTGAAATGATAGGGGCATTTAGGATTAAACCCCCTTTAACCTCCTAAAAACCATGCCTTCATCTTGTTTTCCAATAGTGAACCAATTTGAGCTTTTGTCCTTCGTTTCTGGTTGTTATCCGTGTTTGTTAACCCAAGACCTTTTTAAACTTTCTTGTTTACCCCTGTGTTGTCAAGGGATGCCTGAATTCCATCATTTGTGCAAAGCAAACAAAATTGGGGTTGCAAGTGCTGTTAGATTAGGAGCTATATGATGCTATCCTTGTATAAAGGAAGGGAAATTGGGAAAAGGCCACTGACCAGAGGAAGTTGGCTTACAAGGCGTGCCCACGCCTTGCAGGACTTTCTCCCTTAAAAAAAAAAAAAATTGAAGAGACCTCGTGACCAGAGGACCATGCCCTACAAGGCGTGCCCACGCCTTGCGGGCAGTTCAAAAAAAAAAAAAATTGGGGCACTTGGACAGGGTGTACAGCAAATGGAAACTGCCTTGTTAGTGAAACTCCTCCGGTAAGCACTGTGGTTATTGGTGAGTTTCGGACATTCTCTTGACACTTTACCCCCTATCTATACCGTTTTAACCCGCCATTCACCTAAGCCCCATTACAACCCTATTAAAGTCCCTTTGATCTACGTGTTTAGTTCACTTTTAAGTGGTGGAGATGTGATAAATGTGCAAGCCTATGGTAATGGCATTCCGTGATGTTGACTTGAGAGTTCTTAGTATTTACATATCTTCTTTGAATTACAACCTGCCCGGTGTGTTCTAATCTCGGCGATATTGTAAGGGACCTTAGATGCTTGTGTTAGTACAGACTATTACATACCCTCTGCTCTCTTGATTGTACTTCTGAGCTCTGGAATGCTTGAGGACAAGCATTGTCTAGGTGTGGGGGGATTTGATAGAGCAGTTATTTGGCACATTTTGCAGTGTTATTTTGTCCTAATTTTGGCTATTTACTGTGCTAAGTACTGAGGTTTAACTCATATCTCGCATTTGTATGAATTATAGGTGATCGGCATTAAAAATGATCTCGCAGGGTAAATTTCCAGAAGACTTTTCGTCTTAGGGCGTGGCCACGCCTTAGAAGGTGGACGAAACCGAAAGACGGACCGTGATCCACGTGAACCAGGAGCACAGGATTAAAACTTCCAAAAGTCCCTTGGTTTCAATCAATTTGGGCCAGACGTCTCTTTCGTGACTTCTGGGAGCGGCGGCTATAAAGAAGGGAAAAGCAAGATTCAAAGGACAACTACTTTTTAGCCTAGTCTCTCTTTTTCTACTTTTTGGGGGAATGATTTGTCAGACGCTTGAGTCTTTCTCTTTTGTTTTCTGCGGCTCTGGGTCAGACATTGGAGATTTTCTCCTTTGCTGTAGCTTTTGCTTTTGGCTTCTGTACAATTTTTCCTATTCGACTTTTGCTTCTACTTTCGCCCCAGGGGTACGAACACGAAACCCCACAAAGGGAAGCAAAAGGTTTTTCATCCGTTCCTTCGCTAATTCATCTTTTTCAATTCTCGGGAAATTAATTGAATGCATTCAATTAAATCACGCGGGATTGACACGATGAGGAGCGGCTAATTCCCTCCTCTACCCAAAGGTTGACGCGAGGGCGCGGTCCATAATATCTGTGAGATCTAACCGAATCTTCATTATTTTCTCTAATTAATTGCTATTCGTGCGTTTCCTGAATTAATTGTTTATGGGTATTTTATTAATTGAATAGCAACGGCCGGGTATTTGATTTGATTTAATAGCCTACTGCCACGTTAATTAAATAGAATCCGTAATTGTTCATTTAGTTAACACCTCGTGGCAACCACCATAATTGGTTTTATGATGGGGAAACGCAAGATCTAGCTTAAATAAACCCTCTTAGCGTGTTTATTGGTTAGGGTTGGGTTCTTCTAGTTTTAATGCAATTGGGTAATTAAATTCCTACGATCTTACCTCGGGTTGTTATCTGGTTAGGGAAGTAGTCAATGGTCGTACCTTGACTGTCGAAAAGGTAAGGAAGAACTGGTTGTCAGAGCTTATTGATAACTATAACCAACCTAGTGATGAATGGATGCAATATCTTTGCATCGATGATCATTTAATTGGACCGTGCCTGAGCAGTTAATCCTTTGGGTAGAACTTTTATTAATTGCTATTTTTATTGAATTGTGCTTTGTGAGTTAGTTCTGAATTTAGTTCGCTTTATTTTTATTCTTATTTTTATTTACTTGCCTCCCATTGAAAATCCCCCAATTTCATTCTACTAATTTGGAAAGAAATAATTTCCTACCCGCTCCCTGAGGAATCGACCCTACTTGCCATTGTACACAAAATTAATATTCTTATAGACTAATCTGGTATATCAGATCAAGCAAACTCTTCGGGAACATGGTGAATCAAGTAACCCATTGCACACCTAGGGTCCCTGCTCCAGTACTTGGATTTGTTCTATAATTAATTGTGGTGGTAATTAGGACTTTTTAGTAATTATTATTGCACAGGTTCGGCACCTGTCACTCACACCCCCAGTCTAAGAGAGATTTTGATTAGACATTAAACCAAAAGAGCAATTTATGTGCCTTTGGGCCACTAAGCATTTAGTGCTATTTAGGGTTTTTTGTGTTTTCAGTTTTAGGTGCTTTTTGGGTTTAGAATTTATTTCCTAGGATTTTATACTCTCTTTCTATTATAGTAAATCTACTACCCTTTCACCCGTGGCCGTAGGTCAATTCGACCAAATCACTTGAAATTCTATATTTCTCTACTTGATTTATTTGATTTGTTATTGTCATTATTGGATTGTCTAGAATCCTATTGTTCTCATTGGTCATTTTCCTGGGACCAAATGTAACAAATTGGTATCAAAGTTTCAGGTTTCAAGTTTAGGTTTTGAATTCAGTTTTGGGTTAGGTTTTGGGTTCTTGATGACAATAACAAACTATCAATATCAATTCCAGAACGTTGATTTAGTGCTATAGAGAGTGAAGAAAAATTCCTTGTTAGAGTTTAGTTGATTTTTGAAGAAGAATTATTTGGCTTGTTGGAACTCGTTGAGGGTTTTGAGAAGAAGGTGTAGCAAAATTACTATGCTCATGATTTTTTATCCTGTCAGAATCTGTTGAATTTTTTATGAGTTTTGACCCATTGGGACCTGTTGAACCTTTTGTATCTTGATTTGTTGGTAGCTCATTGGGGTTCTTTGGATTTTTGTGGTCCGTTGAGATCCGTTGGGATTTTTATGGAGAAGGTGGAAGTTATTTGCTATTTGTTTGCAATTTCCTGAAATTGAATGCACGCCAAACTAAAGATTTGCTGAATTTATTTTTGTATCCTACATCGAGAATTTTACAAAGAAATCTCTCCTCTTGGTGGTTATAAATAGAGTGGCCTGAAGTGAATCTACATGTACTAAGGATACCAGCCCAAGTGCCATATGCACCAGTTTAAAAGAGTTTTAGGACGCCCATGCCCCAGTCTAAGAGAGATTTTCATTAGGTATCAAATCAAACGAGTAAGTTATGGGTTTTTGGGCCGTTAAAGCATTTAGTACTAATTAGGCTTTTTTGTGTTTTCAGTGCTTTGCAGGCCTGGTAATTATTTTTTAGGATTGTGTACTCTCTTTCTATAATAATAAATCTGTTACCCGCATAGGTCAATTTAGCTGAACCACTTAAAATTCTGTCTTTTCCTGTTTGATTTATTTGATTTGTTATTGTCTTTTATTAGGTTGTCTAGAACTTTATTGTTCCTGTTGGTCAATTTTTTTGGATCATACCTAACATCAATTCCATATTTTGCGAAGATTATCTTTTTATTTTTCACTCAAGTATGAAGGTTCTTTAGGTGTTTGTAGAGTTTCCATACTTTTTTTCCTTATGATGTTATCGTATCTCTTGACTCTAAATCTGCAATTTAAACATAGTGCATTCAAGCACGTTTTTTGGTTTTAGTTTTTTAACCTTTTGGTTTTGCCATCCAAAATTATGGAACTTTAGTTTGATGTTTAGAGTTCAATACTTGCATCAAATCTTCGAATCTATGATCACTGTGTACGTTGTCATCATATCATTTGAATTTGAGTTTGGCCCTAGAATTAAACCCATCCATAAAAAAGCTTATTTGTCATTATATTTGGGTTTACAATTTACTGGTTTATTTAGCTAAAGCTAGGGCTTTAAAATCATATCAGACTTTTACAGTAAATTCTTGGTTGTGTCTAATTAAAATTTGGTTATTGCTATAATGTTGGGCCTAAATTTCTTGAGAAAATACAACTAGAGCATATTGGTTTTAGGATCTCATAATAAGATATCAAGCCCCAATACTAAGTAGGCATGGGTTCATGGGCTCCCAAGGTTGATTTCTTGCTAAACCCCACTCGGCCCAATTAACTTATTTAGCCCATACATCCATTAGTTGAAAAGCAATCCTCAACTGAATAAGGGGACTCAATCTTATGGGCAGCAACGGGGTGACTACACGCGGGTGCCCGCCCCATAAAAAGAAAAATGGAGCAGTTGGTGGGTTGGGTGGGGTCAGGGATGATCAAATAACATAGTTAATTAGTAAGTTATGCATATAAATACATTATAATTTACACCCTATTACCTTTTTCAATGTCACTTGATAGCATTTCATACTTAGAGTATTTTGCACTTCATGTAACTTGAGAATCATTTCAAATAATCAAGAATCATCCATATATCTTCTCATTTTACTTGATTGGATGATTGAATGAACAAAATCTACAAGAACATGAAGTTTAAAACCACTTAACGCCATAGAGGTGCAAATTTTTTCCACTTTTACCACAAAATGCAATATTCGCAAGAAATCAAGTTAATTAGCTCTTAAAATGACTAAAACATACCAAAAACTAAACAATAAACACACACTAAAAATATTCAAAATAAACATTTATCACCCTTATCCCTTTGTAAGGATTGGGGTTTTAAAAAAAATTTCCAGATTAAGCAGAACGTCGATATCCATATTAGTTGTAATCCATGTTTTTGTGGCAACAATTGGTTGAGAAGTATATAAGATATATGAATAAATGTACTTAAATGTGTGTAATTATGTGGCTGCGCTCATGTATGTGAATGTGTATGTGTATGTATATTTGTATGTATATACACCCAAATAATATAAAAGATAGAAAGGAAAATGACTTGTTCCATCCCTCACATTTCGCAAAAATATTCTTTTCATCTCTCACTTTTAAAATGAAGCAAATTCGTCCCTAACATTAAAAAATTGAAGCTATTATATCCCTGAACCCAACTTTTATTCTGAATCAAACCGTCCAGTAACCTGGTAATAAATTTTGGGGATAGAATTGATAGATCACTCTATCAATTCCTTCACATTCACATGACATTTATTGAACCAAAAAAGGAAAAAAAATTAAAAATTATAACATAAAAGGGCCGTTATTTGTCTTAGACTAGTAGGGTTTCTTTTTTGGAAAAATTTTTCATACACTGTTAGTATATACGCTTACAAGTTTAGATGCATACCATACATGCAAAATTTGGTGTTTAAATTTAAATTGAAATGATGTGGCAGATATCTAGACCCGTCAGTGTATACACAATGACCATGTTGGAAAGATTAATCCTTCTCTTTTATGTTATAATTTTTAAATCTTCCTCTTTGGGTTCATTAAATTTCATGTGAATATCAAGTTGAGTTAACTAAGTGGTCTACCAATTATATCCCCGAAATTTGTAATTAGGTTCATAGGTGGTTTGATTCAGATTGAAAATTGGATTCAGGGATGTAATAGGTTTAGTTTTCAAATGTCAAGGATGAATTTGCATTGTTTTAAAAGTAAGGGACGAAAAGAATAATTTTGTGAAATGTTAGAGATGAAGCTGGTCATTTTCCGAAGATAGAATTCTTACAAAATTTTACTTCACATTCATGTAATAGAATCAAGAACAATGTCACATGCATATGCATACATTTATGTATATACACTCAACCTAAAAAAAAAAAAGCATAGAGTTAAGATTTACTTTCATGCTTGTGATGCAATTAAATGCTTTCCATGCATCTATTCGATGACATCTTCTAAATCCGCTTTAATAATTAACTGGCGAATGGGTAAATTGGGAAAGAATTAACTATAGAATATCTTACGATTAAAATTTATACCATATTAATAGCACTTTGAACTCTTATTTTTGTTTACAGACATTAAAATTAATAAATATTTATCAACTCATTATGCTTATGCATAAAATTTACAAATGTTAACCATATTCATAGGTGCTATTCTATAAAAAAATAGGGAAGCTAAGTCATCATGTTATAAAATTTTTAAATATTTCAAGAAATGAAGCATTATTTGGTAAGTATAATATGCCAAAAAATTGTTACCTCTATTCATAAAGTTATGTGAAAGTAATTCATAATTTCTAAATGCATGAAATAAAAAATTTTGGTTATACATATGAACGTATAGTTTACAGGTACTTAATAAGACATGAGTTTTATTCCATTTAAGGTTTACGAGTTTTTGTGAGTATATATGCATAATCACGTGGCTCCACACATGCATGTATCAATCTGAATATATATTTAGAAAACAAATTAAAAGATATCATAGTTTTAACATTTAATTACCATGAATGCAATTAACTACTTTCCATACATCTATTCTTTGACGTCTTCCAAATTTCACGTAATGACCAACTGGTAAATAGGTAAGCAAACTTCATTATATTTGGAAAGAATTAATTATAAAATATCTTGTGATTAATTCTTTTGCCACACATCCTCCGAGCGACGGTTGTCCCTAATCTATCATTTGATAATGTTTTCATCAATGGATATTGGGATGTGAATAAGTTATATCAGACACTGCCAAGGGAAATGGTGCCCTCCATTTTAGAGCATCCGGTTCCGGAAGAAGGGGGTGAAGCCGAAGTCATTTGGATGCCCACGACATCTGGAAATTTCTCTCTAGCATCTGCATTTTCGGAAATTAGGCAAACCCGCAATAAGTCTATGGTTTTTGACAGAATTTGGCATCCTCAACTCCCTTTGAAAGTTTCATTCTTCATGTTACGATTGTTGTTGGGGAGGCTGCCTCTACCGGACAGGTTATGTAAACTTGGCTTTCACTTACCGTCAAAATGTTTTTGCTGCTATTCGGCATCTGAGGAGTCAATTGAGCATTTATTTTCCAATGGCCATATAGCATCCACAGTTTGGAATTATTTTGGAGCTGCATGTGGACTGGCCTTTCCAGGGTCATCTTTACGGCCCCGCATAGTGGGTTGGTGGTTGAGTTCACAGCATTCTGAGATACGACGATATATTGGAAGCATTCTTCCCAGTGTAGTTTGTTGGAATATTTGGAAATCAAGAAATAAAGCAATGTTTGAGAATGTCCACATGAGTTCGCCTGCCATTTGTTTTGCCATTTTCTCGGATATCCAAAACATGGTTGAAATTCATTTCAAACAAGTTTTCCGAGTACAGTCATTTTATGATTTGTATGATTGGCCGTATTCAGCTAATATTGAGTTTATATACAAACTTGTTCGTTGGGAAACGAAGGAATCCGGTCGGTTCATACTAAATACGGACGGTTGTTCTAAGGGTAATCCAGGATTGGGTGGAGGTGGTGGAGTTCTTCGAGATTCAAATGGCATACCTTTGATTGGTTTTTCGGCATATTTTGGGGAAACTACATGTCTATGTGCAGAGGTTCGAGCCCTCCTTATTGGTCTTCAAACATGTGTGCATAGAGGGTTTGGGAATCTCTGTGTCCAGTCGGATTCTTTGGTATTAATTGGAATTCTTCAGCATCGCATTCAATGTCCCTGGAAGATTCGACGTGACATTAGGCAGATTTGGCAGTTTGTTAAAGACCCACATCGTTTTTCGCATTGTTACAGGGAAGCTAACAAAGTAGCTGATGCATTGTCCAATGTGGGAGTATCTCATCCAGAGCATCAAGTCAAGCTATACGAGTCCTTTAATACATTCCCAACTATGGCTCGTGGGGCAATTCGCCTTGATAGATTAGGGATGCCATCAATTCGGAAAATTAAGCGTATGAAGGGCTGAGTAAAAAGGAGATTTGAAGTGAGTTGGCTATGAAATGGGGCAAGGAGGTTTGTCTTTGATTTATTGTCTTTAGTGTTGTCTGTTGTACTTTGAAATGGTCTTTTTCCGTTTGTAAAATTTGTTTCTATTAATAAAAAAAAAAAAAAATTGATGAAAAAAAAAAAAAATTGATTTCCAACAAAAGTTTATCTTTTACGGAGAGATTCTCACCACCGCAATCAGAAAAGGTTAAAATAATAATATGGCTTTTAATTATAACGTATTCGTATTGTTATTTGACTATGAATTTCTATATATTATTGCCTTCAGTTGCCTGAACTTTCACAACAGATAGATATACAGCCTCAAAATTCCAAAGGTCGATGGCTGAACGGCATCCATATCCATCCTGTTATGGGGGACGTTGCCATGATCCTATATGTTGTGTCAAAGGTTAGTCAACCAACTACTATTAAAAATAATAATGCCGCAAGATACTCAAAGAGCAAGAATGTGTAATCTCTTGAGTTGTATTTTTTGGTTTGAACATTAGGGCAAGAATTGAAATTCTAGACACTAAGATGCCTCCAAACAAGAATTTCCAATCGATCCATTCGTCAAAATGTCAAATATGTATTGTGTGTGTCTGTTGCTATATATATGTGTGTGCGCGCGCGCGTGTTATTTTTTATGTGATTCTTAGTTAATAACTTGTAGAATCTTGATTGATTGATATTAGTACAACAAGATTTAAGACATAATTAAGATTTTGTGTTTTTCTTTTTTTTTTTTTTAAGTTTCCAATATCTTGTTTTAGTACAAGATGGAACTTCCAAACATGTGTTTTGATCGATGCAGGCACAGGCTACAAGTATGAGTGGCCTGAATTGGTGGGAGTGAATGGACAGCATGCCAAGGCGATCATCGAGAAAGACGATCCATTGGTCATAGTTAGGCTTTTTCCTAAAGGGTTCGTGACGTTTCCGGATTTTTGTTGTAATCGTGTTGTGATTTTTCTGGATGAAAAGGGCAATGTGAGAAATATACCCTTGGTTGGATAAGCAAAACTTATCAAAGAGCCAAAGTGAAAAATGGCTATTCCAGTGGTTGGATAATAAAATTTTAGCGTCATAATGGAGGGTGTATTGGTATTGAAATGCAAAAAAGAATATCAGAATTAGAAGAATTATTTAAAAAAGAAATTTGTGCAGACATTCCTAATGCTTTTTGGGATAGAAAACAACATATGATAGAATTACCTTATGAAAAAGATTTTAATGAAAAAAATATTCCAACAAAAGCTAGACCAATACAAATGAATTCTGAATTATTAGAATTTTGTAAAAAGGAAATAAAAATATTACTAGATAAAGGATTAATAACTCCTTCAAAATCACCTTGGAGCTGTGCTACATTTTATGTAATGAATCAAGCTGAAAAAGAAAGAGTAGTTCCAAGATTAGTAATAAATTATAAACCTTTAAACAAAGTTTTACAATGGATTAGATATCCTATTCCCAACAAAAAAGATTTGCTTAATAGATTATTTAATGCAAAAATATTCTCAAAATTTGATATGAAATCAGGATATTGGCAAATATTAATAGATCCAAAAGATAGATACAAAACAGCATTTACAACACCTTTTGGACATTATGAATGGAAAGTTATGCCATTTGGATTAAAAAATGCACCATCAGAATTTCAAAATATAATGAATGATATTTTCAATCCTTATAGTTCATTCAGCATAGTCTATATAGATGATGTATTAATATTTTCAGAATCATTAGAACAACATTTTAAACATTTAAGTATATTTCTAAAAATAGTTAAGAAAAATGGATTAGTTATTTCTGCTCCAAAAATGAAATTATTTCAAACAAAAATAAGATTTTTAGGACATAATATATATCAAGGAACAATAAAGCCAATAAATAGAGCTTTAGAATTCGCTACTAAATTTCCAGATGAGATAAAAGAGAAAAATCAATTACAAAGATTTTTAGGATGCTTAAATTATATAGCAGATTTCTTTCCTAAATTAAGACAAGAATGTTCTATACTATTTAATAGATTAAAGAAAAATCCAAAACCTTGGACGAAGGAACATACTCAAAAAATAAAATATTTAAAAGAAAAAATAGAGTCATTACCATGTTTATGTTTACCTCATCCTAAAGCATTCATGATAGTCGAAACTGATGCATCAGAATTAGGATACGGTGGAATATTAAAACAAAAAATAAATAATTCAAAAGAAGAATTAGTTAGATTTCATTCAGGAACATGGTCTGATCCTCAAAAGAATTATTCAACTATTAAAAAAGAAATTCTATCCATAGTTTTGTGTATATCCAAATTCCAAGATGATTTGTATAACAAGAAATTTTTAATTAGAATAGATTGTAAATCTGCAAAAGAGATTTTACAAAAAGATGTTCAAAATATAGTTTCAAAGCAAATATTTGCTAGATGGCAAGCTATTTTATCTGTGTTCGATTTCGACATAGAATTTATTAAAGGAGAAAATAACTCCCTTCCTGACTTCTTGACTAGAGAATTTTTACAGGGAAATGGAACGTGAAACTCACAAAGAATACCTTCGAAGACTTCGAGCTGAACGAGATAACCCAATTCTTCAAAAAAGAGCCACAAATATTTCTCATAGACCCTTTACCTATTTTGTCAAAAATCCCGATAAAACTATTCAACCAATTCCTTATTCTCAAATTCGAAATCATGATACAGTTCATATTAGACACAGCTTTTGGGCTGCAACCACACCAAAAGAACAAGCCTTTCTTCTAAAAAGGCAGATCAATTCAAACATTATATTTAAGAATGTTCTTGAAAAAGCCAATCATCCTCCTGAAGATATTCAGCCAATTTTAATTCGAATTCAACAGCTTAAAGAACAGCTTAACAAGATTATTTGTTAAAATTTTGCAGGATCATGGATTCAAAAGCAGGAAGTTCCAGGCCAAAGACTCCTCAGGATTATGAGATGAGTCTTACCCCGTAACTCAAAATAGATTTCAACTTTTATCAGATTTCCCAGCATTGACTTACAGTCAGGCTGCTACTCCAATTACTTCTCCAATTAGACCCATTCAACAACTGGCAAAATCCCCAGAAAAATCTCAAGGAAATACTTATTTTACAAAGCCATTTACTCAACATATTACTTTAACTAGATTCCAAGAAATACCCATATACTCTACTCTTCATCAAGTTACTCAAAGGATCTTTCCTCCAAAATGCTATTGGCAACCAGATGACCCTTCAAAAAATCTAGATTATTATGAATTAATCCTTACAGATACTCAATCTGTAGAGATTTACCCAATTCCAGATAAAAAGAATCCCAACATTATTAGCCATTCTAAGTGTATTATAAAGAAAGTTTGTTCTCCTAATGAATGGACTTCTCTTTATTCCAAAAAATCCTTTTCAGTGAACTTTATTCCAGATGGATTTACATATCAAGATTACAAAATGGCATGGTATCGTGCTTTCCTTTTTAGACCATTCAATCATTCCTGGTTCTTCACATTCAAAGACAGTTGCAGTAAAGAATTCCCAATTTGGTTCAATCACTGGTGGAAATGGTTTGGACCCCAACCAGAAATTCTACCTCCAAATGTTCTCATGGGATTTCAAACTTATCTAAAAAGAGCAAAGGGGGAAGAGTTTACAAGACCAATTTTATTTCACATGGAATTCAAAGTACCATGGATATTTTGCTGGAGTTTCAAAATTCATCAAGAAATGGAAAAACCTCTGCCAATGTCATTGGTAAGAGAATTCAAAATAAAATGGTGGACTGGATTCAATCAAGAATTTGGAGATCAAACTAATGTGATCAGATTCCTGACCACTGGAGACAAATTAAAGTGGACAGCTACTACCACTACTCAAAAGGAGACAAGACAGTCAACAATCATTCCAACCACTACACCAACTCCACTCACTCCAAAAAGAGACAAAGAAAAGGTGACGGAAATGGCATCCGAAGAAACAGCCAGTAACTTTTTAATAAAGCAAATCATGCAGAATCCCGAGATGCTGAAAGAATATCTGAATTATTTGCAAAAGCCAAAAGAAGAAGACAAAATAGAGGAGCCAGCAGGATCATCAGAATCTACTTTTGATCCTTTTGATGATCCCATCGGTGGACAAAATCCAAACGACTTTTGAAAAAGATGTCGGCCACCACAAATGAAAGCAAAATTGAAATTCAAATGAAATGCAGAATCGAGCCTCTATAAATAGATTCAAGATTCAGAAGACAGGCATCGGCGAAAAAATATCAGAAGTTGTAATAGACTTGTCTTAGTTTTCCTACTACTCCCACTTACTCTTAGTTCTCCTACTATTCCCACTCACTCTAAATAACCATTGTACTCAAAGTCTTTGTAGAAGTGGATTTCATCATTACAATAAAGTCTTCAAGGTTGGAATTCATTACAAGCTTCCGTTAGTCACTCAACAATCAAAAGTAAGTCCAACTACTTATGTTTATTGCATTTCAATACCTGGGTTAGAAGTGGTATCAGAGCCACACCTTTGTTTAATTTGCATACGCATATTTAAACTTTGCATTTACATTTACTTTATTTGAATTACATTTCTATTTTAACTTGGCTATTTCATGCATTTATGTTACATATTTTATTAAACTTTACTGAAAACGTTGGTAAGACTTGATGCTTTGTTAGACCGTTGGTAAGTCCAGGATAGGATGTTCCAGGCATAGGCTCGGTTGTTCCCGTCTAAGTAAAATTTAATTAAATATTAAGCATGGCTGCATTTCTTAGACAATTAAAAATAGGATCTAATTCAAAGCAAGAAAATGTAGTACAAAGTCATGAATATCATATGCCTATAAACAATTCAGATTGGACAATCCCAGAAGAAAAAATTGAACACATTTATAGAATTGGCCCTTTAGATTTCAAAACTGCTTTATCAGTCAAAACCCATGAAGAAACAATATCTATTCAAGAAGAATATCAAAC